GTCCCCCGGCCCGGGTCCAACCTCCGAATATTTATACAGGAGGAAGGTGGCCTCCTGTTCGGAGATGTGGGGCTTCAGGGCGCAAATACCCCTCCGCTCCCATCTCCTCCTACCCGTCATTCCGGCCACCGGTTTTTGTACCAGGGGGTGACATCCCCTGTTGGCGGTGTGTGGCGCCCCAGTGAGAACCGGTCGCCGATCCACCGCCCCTACCCGTGTCCCTGTCTGCGAGTTTTTATACGAGGAGCAAGACAGACTCCTGTTGGTAAGTGTGTGGCTTCGTGACCTCGCGGCCCGCGCCGATCCACCTCCCCTACCTGTGTCCCCGCCTCCGAGATTTTATACGAGGGAGAAGGCGGACCCCTGTATTCGTACCCGACCTTCCGATTTTCAGGGTGAAGGTGGCCCCCGCATTCGCGCCCTACCTAATTCGATCTAACTATCGCGGCATCCTCCGAGTTTTTATACGAGGGGGAGGGTGACCCCTGTATCCTACCCGTTTCCCTGCCTCCGAGTTTTTATACGAGGGGGAAGGCAGATCCCTGTTTGACGATCGCATGACATCAGACCTATTGCCCTCAGTCATGCATCGCCCCTCCCGGAATTCGCGCGCTGCCTCCGATTCTTATACAGGCGAGACAGCAGCCTGTTTGGAGGCGGGGGTTCCAGGACTTGGTCCCTTCGCCCAGCGCCCCCTCCTACCAGCGCCTACCTACCTGTCGCGAGCTGTGCCTCCGAATTTAACGGAGGGAGGCATACCTCCGGTTGACCCGCCTGTCGCTATGCGCCAGGAGAGTCGCTACCCGATTCCCCGTACAGGGAGAAGCTAAGTCCCTATTCGGGAGACACGGCGCGCCAGAGGTTCATAACCGACTGCCAGGGCCGACCTCCCCCCAGCCACCGCGCTCCCGTGAGAGCAGACCCAGAGGCCGTGACCAACCAGCGAACCTCCAGCAGCTCCGGGTTCCGATTCGGTGCCACCCTAGGCGGGTGACACCGTCCACCCCGCGAGCCGCCTCGTGGGCCTGCCTCGGGGTTCCTTCCTTTAGATTCAGGACCCAGAGCGATGGCTCTAAGGATCCCTCCTCCTCCGGTCTGCCCACCGAGGGGAAAGACTTCCCTCGGGTTGGCGCACTAGCGCCCGCGAGATACCTTCAGGGCTCTCTCAGTCCCCGCAGGCGAGGGCCGCGGCTTAAAGACATTCCTGCCCCCGACCTACTAAGGAGGAATTACGACTATTGTCCACCTCATTCTTCGGTCGTGACCGCAGCACCAAGCGGCGGGACCCGATCCTTCCCGTCTAGGTATCCAGGTATACACACCGGTGCGTGCACCCTGCGCGAAGCCAGAGCCCCGTCAGCCACAGGAGGGGTACTCCTGTGTTACCGACTCACACCACGAGGAGGTGGGGTTGGCACATGGGCCCGGTGGCCCTTCTGCGAGTTTCCTAGGGTTAACCTTGGGTTAACTCCAACTGTGAAAAATTTACAAGTTTTATCAAGAAATAATGTCAAAAATCCCAACATCCTAGGGTTAACCTTGGGTAGAGGAGGCTGGCCGATCCCAGCTGCCCGGGTCAGCGAACCGTACGGGCTGTCCTCCCCGTTATGGAGGAATGGTTGGGCAGACCGTGGGCGAGGGCGTCGTACAGAACGTCGCAGGTGCTCACCGGGCACGGATGCTTCGGTGGGTACCTGCGACGTATAGGCAAAGAGGCGACAACAGGCTGTCACCACTGTGAAGAAGGGGTTGACGACGCTCAGCACACGCTGGAGGCTTGCCCGGCGTGGGCTGAGCAGCGGAACGTACTGAGAGGGGCCGTGGGTGACGACCTCTCGCTGAGGGCAGTCGTGGGAAAAATAGTCCACAATGAGGACGCGTGGAACGCATTCTCCACATACTGCGAGGGGGTGATGCTCCTTAAGGAAGAAGCGGAGCGCATCCGGAGGGGGGAGACGGACCCCCAGGATGACCCCTTGGGGCTGGAGCACGTAGAAGAAGAAGAAGAGGAAGGCCAGCCCACCTTAGAAGGTGGTAGTCCGGGGTGAGGGGGACGGGGTTCGTGGAGCGGCTGTTGTCGCCCGTAAGGGCAGGGACAGTACGCCTGCTTCCTTCCCCCCTCTCCCAGGACTGCGGAACGACGAGGATTTCCTCCCCGAGTAAATGGGGACAATCGACTTCTGGTCGACCAAGAGGGGCGATCCCTCCACATGGCGTCCGGGGCCCGCCGACGAATAGGCCCGGGGTATCCCCTGCCTGTCGTAAGAGGCGACTAGAAGGGGAGGATTCTGGGAACGTTGAGGGATCCCAGGGGGTGGGTCGGGTGCTGAGGACTCCCGGCCCACCAGCCCCCACTAACAACAAGGGGGCGCGGCAGGGGCCCGGTGCCACCCCTGCCGCGGCGCAATCAAACGCGCAATTAGGAGA